AAAAGGGAAAAAAAAAAAAAAAAGGGGGGGGAAAAAAAAAAAAAAAAAAAAAAAAAAAAAAAAAAAAAAAAAAAAAAAAAAAATGCCAAAATACGAAAATACAAAGATGCGAGTATACAAAAATACAAGATGGTTAAAGCGTGATTCGGAGGAGCTGCTGTGCTCCAGCGTTCGCGGCGCTCGCCATTTTTGGATTCCCCACTCGATGTCTCGATGAGCAGCAGGGCTGCGTGTTTGGCGGTGGGCGTCGCGGCGGCGAGCGTCTCGGCAGCACGAGACACTCGACGCGCGTCGCTCCGAACACTCGGGTAGGTAAGTTCATCTTTGTGCAAGACTTTGCTACTCCGCCACTGCGAACGCCGTCAACGCCGATCTCGAGGAGAAAGAGAGCCGAGCTTACAGCTTCCTTAGCGTTTTAAGACTTTTCCTTCACCCAATCTGTTATTTTACACTTGCATCTCTCTCTCTCTCTCTCTCTCTCTCTCTCTCTCTCTCTCTCTCTCTCTCTGTCTTCATCTCTATTTATCTGTCTATCTATCTATACATCTCCGTACCACCGCTGAGTCTACGATCGCAAATTAACGTAGGCATCCTTTGCTATTTGTATTTTGTTCAGCTCTGTGCTCGTGTGCATGTGACTCTGAGCCCCGTCGTCGCTAAGAGCAGCTCTTTAAAGAATAATGTTCGTCACGTCATGTTTTTTTTTTTTTTTTTGTTTTTTTTTTTTGTTTTTTTTTTGTTTTTTTTGTTTTTTTCTTTTTGACCATTTGTTGCTATCACCAGCACCTATCTCTCTGCTTTTGCTTGGTCTTCTTGCCCGTGAAATGCGACCGCTAACCACTAAGTACCAAAGCTCTTAACTCTTAGTACTCGCGTTATTTCATTCTGGGAACGACTTCGATTAATGATCTTGGTCGGTGCGGCGCTACGATATGGATTCATCGTGAGTTCGTTCGAAAAATTCCCAGTATTTTGGATGATGAATTCAAGTGAAATGAACGAGAGAGATGAATTATGAGTATATTATCACCAGCTCCGACTGCCAATTGTATCAACGTGGATTAGGAAAAATTAGTAGAATTCAACCTGTGTTGGGGACTGTGTGACACTGAGTCTTCCATCATCAACTTGGATGAACGAGAAGTTCGTTGTAGTTCGCGCGAAATGAACCAGTGCTGGAGTCACGGACGTAAATAGATCGAACGTACAAACACGCGCGACGTTATTCTCGAAGCTAACAAGATACTATTTTCCAATCGTTTGGCTAAAAAATTCCTTCGATTCGAAGATGCCCAAAATGCCGATATTCCCACTAGTTATTTAATATCCGTCTCTTGTCATCGCGTCCATGTTATTGTATAAAAAATTCATTATATTGAATTATATGTAACGGGACGACAATTGTGAAACGTTATGGTTAATGGGATAATACAGTGATTTGCGGCAGTGCTTTTGAAGAAAAAAAAAAAAAAAAAAACAATCAGTTTTCTTTTTTTCTTTCCTTCTTTCTTTTTTCTTTTTTCTTTTTGTTTTGTTTTGTTTTGTTTTGTTTTCTCAATTACCCACAAGTGTAAATTAAAGGTAAAGATAATAACATCATTCGATCATAAATATAATATAGATCTCTCAATGATTTCGTAATATTGTTCAAAGTCTGAAATCGATGCGATCGTGTCGAGCTTAGACCATATGACAATTAATTCTGTTTGTTTATCGTTGACATGAGTTTATGGTGTGCAAAGTGTCGTAAAAATAATCATTGTAATAAGTGCTCGTTGTATTTGAAATTTTTAATAATTCTTTTCCCTCTTTATGCACTAATAATCGTTTGAAAAGCAATTAATAATAAGGCTGTGTTGGCGAAAATGTTGTTGTCAAAAGGTAATGCGAAGCTCGAATCACTTGACTCTCGATAGGCTCGTGATTATCAATGGTAAAAGCAACGTCACGAACGAATAAAGTAAGTTGATTTGGAAGTTGGAAAGATGAAGGAGGGTCTCGAAAATTTAGGAAATTCGACGATTCGGAAAAATTAGGTCACAGAGTCGAAGGGAAAAGCGAAAAGGATGGGTGGGGGGGGGGGGGTGGGGGGGGGGGGGGGGGGGGGGGGGGGGGGGGGGGGGGGGGGGGGGGGGGGGGGGGGGGGATACGTTAACGAGTAGAATTTACGAATTCTTGCCAAATTCTATTTTCGAGCAGCGGCTGATCCCGCGGAATAGATGCGATATCACGGGGAGAATTTGCATTACGGGTGGAACCAGGTCGAGTCGCGGATGACAGTTTAATCGAGCGATGGGAATCGAAAGCGGATGCATCCAAGGTCGCAAGTGCCCTTAACTCCTTTGCCGCAGTCGCCGATTTACCGCGGCTCTACTAAAATTTATTCTTTTAACCGAACTTACATTTTCGACTTGAGTATTTTTATTCTTGTATATAGCGAAAGCGCGGAAATCCGATGAGCGTGCTTGGAGTGCTTTTAAAGCTTGATAATGAAACGTGACAATTGCAAGCACCGTGATTTACATTATAATAAATGCGCAACAATATGGTGGCGTGTAAAGAAAATTTTAATCACAAGCATTACGAGGTGTGCTTCGACTTAGTGTAATAACAAGTTGATCAATTATTTATTCTTCGCCTCGACTCACCGCACTTTGCCGAGCATTAAATATTTCCCTCGTTATTTAAATTTACTCAATTATTCATAAATTTGCACTCAAAATTATTCTGAAATCTTTTCTCTCTGAAATTAACGTTTATTTATAAATAGATCGAACAGTCGTAGACCAACTGAAATTTTGGCTAGCCAAAATTCCCAATGGAAAGTATCGCGCGAAGTTGAAAATATAAAAATTTGATGCGAGACGTTACCTAATGTAAAATCAGCGTATAAAATCAATTTATTATAATTATTGCTGTTGTTGTTGTTGTTGTTGTTGTTGTTGTTGCTATTTTTCTTCTTCTTACTCCTAGTATTATTATTATTATTATTATTATCATTATCATTATTATTATTATTATTATTATTATTATTATTATTATTATTATTATTATTATTATTATACTATAATGTAATAAAATTAATTAACATTTGAATTGAACATACAATTGAAATTGTAAATAACGGAAGATAAATGATTGACCGAATAAAGAACCAATGCTAGTCGTTATAACTTTTCGATGTATTTTTTTTTTTTTATAATTATTAATACTGAAAATGTCACTGGAATAACGGAATAAGTATAATTTCCATGTGTCAATAATAGCGTTTCGTTTCGATTAAAAATTCTTGAAAATCAGTGTATTTATCGTCGGTCTTCCTCAGACACGTCATAAATGAACTTTTTCATAGGCAATTTATCGTTAGTTTATTGCATTTCAGTGTCCTAGTTAAGGGCGATAATGACGATGGGCCTTATTATTCGTTCTCGACCTCGGCTGAAAATTACTGATAATTGTTGAAAATCACTGCACGCATTATCGGAATGTGCGATTTGTTTCTCATCGGGCCAATGAAATTTCAATGCTGGCACAAAACAAAGAATTCGCAATGGCATGCGAAAAAGCCGAGGCATTCGACCTCGAGTAATGGGCACGCGTTTCCAGTTCTCGGTAGCCCTTGAGACGCTTTATACCTATCGGTTTATTCACCGACAATACGGTTAGTCTACTTTTAACGAGATCAAAGTTCGAGCTTTTGCCAAAATATTCGCGCTCGCGTATTTATTTACGTGTCACGAATATTAATTAACTGGCTCCATCTAAACGCACAAGATGCTAAAAATGAATTAGAGTAGCCGCAATCGAATATCAATGTAGAGTAGACTTTTAAGCTCTCAAATATGTCCTCGTTTATCTCGAAAGCAATGCTTGTTAAAAAAAAAAAAAAAAAAAAAAAAAAAAAAAAAAAAAAAAAAAAAAAAAAAAATTGAGTATTTTACGAACAATTATTTCAACCTATACATAGTCTGCATTTGTTAGTATGAATTTCAATTTTAAATGATTCAAGTTTTTTTTTTAAAGCGTTTTAATCACAGGTTCGATTGTATATTGTCCCTCTACATTTTTTCAAAAGAACGTCTATTTACCGAGTAATATTATCATTATTATCATTATTATCATTATTATCATTATTATCATTATTATCATTATTATCATTATTATCATTATTACATTATAAAAAGAAATAATAATATCAGCTTAATTATTTAAACCAAATATATTATAATTTATTCGTATTCAATGCTTATACTTGATGTGAAGATATCACAAATCATGATATTATTTCTTTTGATTGGATCTTTAAATATTTCATCAGCTTACATTAAATACAAAATTATGACAAAATAATGATTTTCATCTAATAAATATGATGTTATTGTGTTGTTAATATAAGCAACAACAATAACAGACAACTTATAGCATTTATTTTTGAATTTTGTGTCTCGTTAAATTTTTGCTTTCGAAAGGCTTACTGAATATCATCTACCTATACTAACATATAAAAAGTATGAAAATAGATTTACTGAAATACAATAAATATTATCATTAGCAACTATTTTTAACCAATTTTAAGGTTATTTTTACAAAAATTTAATACAAATGTCAGGCTTCACGTTCTCAGCACACCCATAAACACCGTTAAGAAAGCCAACAATGAAACAATGTTCGACCATACATGATTTAACAATACATTCTTATGTTTATAACATAATTTAACAATTAATTATTATATATAATTGCAATAATGAATGAGTCAACTCGAATTCCCTTTCATTTCAATTGAGATTCAATTTTCTCTTCTATCAGTCCGTGCATATTTCACATTTAGTATAAATAATTAATTATCTTTAATATATCGTAATATCAATCACATAATATTAACATAATTTAATAGGCTTAATATATCCACATAAATTCACGACTTCTTTTATCGTTATCTAATTTTAATATCCATACGTCATCCACTATCATATTGAATGAAATTAAATAAAAGTTACTCGGTAATTCAGAGAGACGACTCGTATATTAATTAGTCTTAACCAAAGTTTTTTTTTTTTTTTTTTTTTTTTTTTTTTTTTTTTTTTTTTTTTATTTAATTAGATATTTAATAGTTATTTCTAATAATGATATGGAGATTATTATTATTGGAGTTTTTAAAATAAATTATTCATCTATTAGACGTTTGCTAGCTTCTTAAATCAAATCTGAAAAATAAAATAACTATTAAATTATTGGCTTTGGGGTTACAATTGAAATAGGAAATATTTCGCCATTCCATCGATAACAATATTAGACATTTCATTATTATTATAAAAAAATTAAAGCTATAGTTTTTCTTTGTTAAAAATAAACAAGGCTGATATGAGAATTGATATTTTTTTTTAATTACAATGCACTCCGTTTAAATCTGGTTAGATTAAATGTACAAAGAGAAAATTATCCCTTTCGAATAATAATTGCTTTTATGCATTAATATCGATTAATAACGATTGTTACCCTACGTTTAATACGTTATTAATTCCAAATAAAAAATGAATACTACTAGGCTACTAAATTAGCCTTTAAATAATCGATTAATCAATTAATTAATTATTGACAAGGACTAATAATTTTGATGAATTCTCTGGCCTTTCTATTATAAGCAGTCGGTAATAATTGTATCAAATTGCAAAATTTACAGCAAAACTTTTAGAACTTTGAACGTATATACTCTATAGCTTTTCGTAATATAGTCGAGTTGAACTTTAGGGAAATCTAGATTTAGAAAGTAAGTTCTACACTCGCAACTCAGTTATAATCCTTATACAAGCTAATGCTATCGGACATCCGATTGGTTCTTCGTGTTTAGGTAGCGCCAAGTAGCTCAGCTGTTTATAAAATCATCGGTTCAATGTGAGACTGGATATTTAAACTTAATCGTTTATAAATAAAAGAGCTAATACGTTAATGATGATTCATTAAGCCATTCAATGAGCAATATATATGATGTGTGAAAAGAGAGGTGGAGATAATTGGATTGGAAACATTTTCATAAAAAAATTTGACTATGTAACGGTGGCTCGGAATCTTTATTAGTGAGGACGTGAGAAGGTGAAGAATATAATATCTTTTCTCTCCTCGACTTTATAAAGCTCGTGTTGTTTTGCAAAAGTAATATTTCGCTGGGAAGTTCTATAAATAAAGTCGGCTCTCTCGTATGTTCTCGAAAATCTTTACCTTCTCTCTCATTTGCTCTCTTTCACTCTTCTACAAAAAACATAGAGGCACGCACACGCACAGAAATTTTGTCTGTTTTTCTTTTTTCTCTCTTTCTCTATTTCTCTAGACTTTAAGAGAGAGCGAAGATCGGGTGTCGGGCGGCAGCCGTGCAACCAAGTAAAGCTCGCAGAATGGAGTAGGAAGTTGGATGAGAGTGCGAGCGAGAGATCTACGACATTTTGATATATGCTCTTTCTCTCACTCACTCCCCCCCCTTCTCTCTCTCTCTCTCTCTCTCTCTCTCTCTCTCATTCTGCTTTTCCCTCGCATAACGACCGCGAGATTATTAATAGATTGCTTCTAATGTTATTTCCGTAGATATCCGCTTGCTTCGCCCCTCCCCCTCCCTAGCTTTTTTTTTCCTTACCTTTTAACCTGTTCGTTTTTCAGACAAGAGCGAATTTTCTAATATTTTTTCTTCATCGGCAGTCGACTTACTTCCACACTTTTCATTTCTCGTTTACGGCTTTTCAATATTATTCTGATTTAAAGCATACGTGCTTTAAAGATTTGCATGTTATTGTCGAAGATAATATAAAAAAAATTGTCGACCTTTTCAATTATTTTTTATTATCATCGAAATATTAACAAAACATGATAGTACATTTAAGTAAAAGTGTTTAAGTAAAAATATTTCATGAGATAAGTTGTAATATCAACTAAGATTTTGCATAAATTTGCGAAATATCATGACCTAAACCTAAATAACTTTCATATATAATTACAAAAAATACATTCATAGAATTTACAAAATGTACGTTTAAATCTTATTGTGCATGAAAAACGCAAAAAAGAAGGTATTTTTACAGAACATTGCTACATGTTACATAATAATAATTGATATATCTTCCATTCATTCGTAATTTTATATTTATTTTTATAGAGTAAATTGATAAAATTAATAAATTGTTTCTAAATTAACGAAATACGTACCTCTAAAATATAAATATTTCAAATGTGTACTATTCTATTATGTCTCTTATTTTTTCTTTTTTTTCTAAGGATAGTTTAAGAAAATAATTCCAATTATCTCCAATAAATAAAAATATAATGTTGAAAATTGATTTTTTCGCCAATAAATAATATCCTTTCTAATAATAAGCTTCGTAATTACAAAGTGGAAAAACCAATTTTACGTTAAATTATTAACATTAGCATTATTTAGCTATGCATTTCTGAAATTCATCATGCAGTACAACATTCATATCATACTAACATTACAAAATTATCTCTTTTTACAGTTCTAATTTTATTTATGTCAAATTATTTTTAAACCATTTAAGAGCCCGGGAAGTTTAAGTATAGTCAGACACGATATTAAAATTAAAAAATAAAAATTTTTAATACAAATTCAATATATTCAAAGTATTGAGTAATATGTGTTGGGTCAATGTATTAAAATCAATATATGAGAAATAAGAAAAATGACATTCGAACAATAATATATTTACATTAATAAATTGTATGAAAAACAAAAGAAAAAAAAAACTTTACACGACTACTCGCGCATCAATAATGTAATTAATTAACGAATAATCGATCGATCAATATCTGTCATAAATTAATTACTAAAAAATATGCTTTGGTCTGTTCACAGCAATATCTATAATTTTTTGAGAAAAAGGGGAAAAACAAAGCAGACACCATGGACGCGATTAAGAAGAAGATGCAAGCGATGAAGCTTGAGAAGGACAATGCACAGGACAAAGCCGATGTTTGCGAAGGACAGGCCAAAGAAGCTAATATGCGCGCGGAAAAGGTTTACGAGGAGGTTCAAGATCTAACGAAAAAACTTGCTCAGGTTGAGAATGATCTTGTTACCAATAAGGCTCAGCTCGAGCGTGCCAATAAGGATCTTGAGGAGCGCGAGAAGTCTCTGACCAACGTAAGCTTTTTTCACTCGTTATCTTCAAAAAAATAAAACGGGGCATAATTCAAAATTAAAATAATAATCAAAACAATTTGACAATGTTTAATAGGGAGAGTAGATTTTCCAATTATTATACATTAAAGATTTTTAATAATTAACGTTATCTCATATTGCATATTGCTTATACATTTAAATATTAATATGAATTTCATATGAATTAGTCATATATGTTTGTGTAAATTTTAGAAATTTTCGTGACAATAAGTATATTAAATACATATCAATACTTGCTTTATAATAATAAATTAACCTTTAAATAAAAGAAAAAAGAGAAAATGAAAAAAAGAAAAAAAGAAAAAAAGAAAAAAAGAAAAAAAGAAAAAAAGAAAAAAAGAAAAAAAGAAAAAAAGAAAAAAAGAAAAAAAGAAAAAAAGAAAAAAAGAAAAAAAGAAAAAAAGAAAAAAAGAAAAAAAGAAAAAAAGAAAAAAAGAAAAAAAGAAAAAAAGAAAAAAAGAAAAAAAGAAAAAAAGAAAAAAAGAAAAAAAGAAAAAAAGAAAAAAAAGAAAAAGTAATACATCTCAATGGTGAAATAATATCGTAATATGTTATAATTAATTTCTTATGACATTTTTATAATATGCAAGACCAATTACTTTATACATAATTTGTTGCCCTATTTTGATATCATTATGATGATGCTGACAATAATTATGGTTATTATTTTTGTTATTGTTGTTGTTGTTATTATTATTATTATTATTATTATTATTATTATTATTATTATTATTATTATTATTGTTATTATTATTATTATTATTAAGTTACGAAACCTTTATTTTACAAATTACAAGTGTCGGATAAACATTACTGAAATTTTTCTAATCTATTAATACTTGTGCAAACACTTATTGGAGCGTCAGCCGCTACGGTTACCTAACATTTACTTAACAATACATAAGATTTTCGTGATTAAATCCTAATAAAAGTATCGACATAAATCAGTATGTAGATGTCGTAAATAAAGTTAATCGGGTTTTGGAACAAACGAGGATACATACATATAAGAAATAGAATTATATGATGAACATTAAAAATGTAAGAAAACGCTGAAATTAAATAATAAATTGAAATTCTAGGCCGAATCTGAAGTGGCAGCTCTGAATAGGAAAGTCCAGCTTATCGAGGAAGACTTAGAGCGCTCCGAAGAACGTCTGAATACCGCAACTGCAAAGCTTACCGAGGCCTCTCAAGCTGCTGATGAATCTAGCCGGTAAACATCTTCTTTTCTTTTTTCTTTTTCAAAATCTCTCAAGCCACGATATAGAAGTGAAATAAGAATGAATGAAAGGAAGAATAAGGAAGAATGAAAAAGAAGAAAGAAGATATGAGATTTTCAAAATAGGGAAAATATTACATTTAATCTGCCAAGTGCTGCAATTCAAGGCAGCAATAACCCGCAGTCAATCAGCATTCGTCGTACATCAAGAATAATGCAATGCGTTCCATATGTATTTATTGAAATGTGATTAGTTTGTTTAGAAACATTAATTTAAAGTCAAAAGGCATTATTATTACATTTTTTTTTTTTTTTTTTTTTGGATAATTTAATGGGTTGACGAAAGGCATTTCAATTCCATTAGTGTGTGTGCGACGCTTAAGCATAATAACTGAATGATTGACATGAAATTAAATTTAAAATTAATACAATATAGGCGGATTACTTTCATTGCAAGACATATGCAAAATTATATTTATGAATAATTTACAGTAACATACTAATATATAACGTACTAATATATGGTTAATGACGACAGCACTTTTTACAAAAATGAAAAGAACGCTTATCGTTAATGTCGTTTTAATAGAGCTTTAATCGAGAACCTTTAAATCGTTCATAATTCGTTCTCTTAATATCAACGGATTAACAATTATCGGGCACATATTTATCAAGATACATAAATTTTATAATTAAGTGCGCAGTTTTATAAAACATAGGGTTGTGCGTTAAAAATATATATTTTTTATTTTTAAAAACGAAATTTCGTCATTTACAATAAAGGCAATGTCATTGTGTGTTCATATAGTATGTGTAAGGTACTGGAAAATCGTGCTCAACAAGATGAGGAGCGAATGGACCAGCTGACGAACCAACTGAAAGAGGCTCGTCTTCTGGCAGAGGATGCCGATGGTAAATCCGACGAAGTATCCCGTAAACTGGCTTTCGTTGAAGATGAACTCGAAGTTGCTGAAGACCGCGTCAAATCTGGAGAAGCGTAAGATTATTTTATTTTACTTCTCGTGAATAATGTAAGATTGATTGATGATATGATTGATTTCCAAAATAATATCTCACCGGTCAATTATTACATATAATTTACATTACATAGAATTTTAATAACGAAAGTCAAAACTTTTTTCGTCCATTGACCGTTACATGAATAATATACAGACCTACTGAATTATTAATTATTGTTTAGTAAAATAATGGAGCTCGAGGAAGAACTCAAGGTTGTCGGTAATAGTTTGAAATCATTAGAAGTTTCGGAAGAAAAGGTAAGGAATATAAACAAATAATTTTCATATATGCGGTGCTGAAATACAATTTCCATCGCACTTTGTTAGAAATATATTTTTATGTTCATTCGTACAAATACGAATACACTCGTGATAACTTGTTATACTAGGCTAATCAAAGAGTAGAAGAATTCAAACGACAATTGAAAACTCTAACGGTAAAACTAAAGGAAGCTGAGGCTCGTGCTGAATTTGCTGAGAAAACTGTCAAGAAGCTTCAAAAGGAAGTAGACAGGCTCGAAGGTTAGTCAAACGGAATCATAAAATTCATGTTATATTTTGCTGGTTCTTTCCTATATTTTAATTCAACTTAATTACTTTTGAAACTCTGATAAACAATTTTTGGTTTCAATTTTCGTAATAAATTTTTAATATCTTTTAATACGACTTTATTCTTCTTTTAGAAATTACTTTTATTAATTGCTATTATTGGCTTGTGTTAGCAGAAGATAATTAATAATACATTTTAATTGTCTAACTCTAACAATAGTAAATATTTTCTATTTATGTTACTCAATTTTTATTTAAAATTTATTTAATTTAATAGTAATTTTTTAAAAATCTGTCTTTATAGACATAATTAATGATAAAATAATGTATCAAGAATAATTTTTCTCAACTAATAATTTATGATTACCGATTAACCTATATATATATATATATATATATATATATATATATATACATTTGTGCGTTTAATTTTCAAATAATAATAATGGTGTTATTAACGATATTTTTAATAAATAATTTTTATTTATATATTTATTTACGTATTTTTTTTAAAAAAAATATTTATTTTAGTAGTTTATAATAGTAACAGAAGTACAAATAATTTATTAGAGATAGAATAAAATAATTAATTTCATTAGAGTCAATTTCAAATATAAAAGTAAAATATTCTTTTACAAGAATATATTAATAAAAATCAATATTATAACTTAAAAATAATGTTTATAATCTGTTAATGAAAATAGAAATATAAAATATATTTTAATGAACCAAGATTATATATAGTATACGTGTTCTTATGAAATTGTAAATTCATTTACTGGCAATTAAGTTTCATTTACAATAAAAAACTTTAAAGTTCATACTGATTATTCGGACTTTGTTCTTCTTCCATCTCACAATCTTTTTATATTATCACAAAATTGTAAATATCTTCCATTACAAATGTGAGTAGTTAATTCGGAAAGTTATTTTTCTAGAAATGGAATATACGTTTTGATTTTGCACTCTCGCTAATACAAATTACATATATGGTTATTTTACACAATTGTTATAAAAAAAATTATTCATTTAAATTTAAAATTTTATTTGATCATAACATTTTTTTCATTTTTTTTTTTTTTTTTTTAATAAATAAATAATGTAAATGAACTTAACATCAAATAGAAATAATAGTAAAATACAGATCGATAATATTATTTTGTAGAATGTACAAGATGATATGTGCCTCTCTATTACAAAATTGTTTAATTTGTCCAGTATTTTATCGTTTAAATTTTAACTCTTTAGTGAAAAATGATAAATAAATAAATATACTTGTATAATTTATAAAAATTAGAATAAAGTATGATTTATAGTTTACTAATTTTCCTGAAATTATCCATATTTGAAATTTACAAGATATTAATATTGTTGGATATATAAAAACGATATTAAAGTCATATGAAACTATCACATGAAATAATTCAATTATATATATATATATATAAATAGAATTGCCATTAAACTGACAAAATCATAAAATCATGCAATTAAAAATAACAAAGTAAAAATTTAACGATTCTAAGCCATTTGAAAAAGAAAAATTGTGATTAAATGTGTCATTTATTTTACAGACGAACTCGGAATCAATAAGGACAGATACAAGTCTTTAGCCGACGAGATGGACTCTACCTTTGCAGAGTTGGCAGGTTATTAAAAATTAAAAAGAGAAACAAATGGCGGCGACCACATCCCCAAGAATCAATATTCAATAAAATTCTATATGTTCGAAATATCGCAGCCAAAATATCACGAATATGGTGAATGAAACGCAGCAACATAAATCAAATAAAAAAAATTCTATATATATATATATAACTGTACAATGTCCATTCTTCGATTATGACCAATTATATATATATATATATATATATATATATATATTTCCAATTTTTTTCTCATTTTAATAACCATTTGCTGATCTAATTGAGGTACTTTGTACAAAATCAACTGGATAATGATTATCAAAAATCGATTGTAAATTGATAGATGGGAAAATATATGATATTAGTTACACGCATAGATGGAAATCAGTTATCCGTTTCGTTGATCTTTTTAATTAACGTCAAACATTTTAGAAATATCAATAAACTGGTCAAAATAGATATCTCTACTTTTTATTATTATGAGAGTAAGCAAGAAATAGTCGATAAAAATATATAATAAACAATAATATTCTTCGCGTTTCACGCATCTCTTGAACGCGTGCTCAAACATATTTTTGATAAAATGTGCAGACAAAGTCAAAGTTTGTCTTAACCTAGGCTGCATGATAAGGTTTTTCAGCGTTTTAATCAAATTCGGGACGAGCACGCAATTGTAACATTTTCAATTTTCATAGGCGGCTATGTGCGTGGTATAGTAATATTGAAATAACTTGAATAAAATCAGATTGTATCTTATTTACGATTAGTCATTTACGTCATGTTATGCTATAAAATTATTAATAAATGACTGTAACTGTTTAATTATAACGAGCTTTATTAGTATCCTTGTAGTCCTCAACTATTAATAAATAAGTTATATAAATTTTTCATTTTCTACTCACATGTATTGCCAATAATTGAGTTTTTCAGTGCCGAAATATTTTATTTTGTATTGCAAACAAACTAATTCACTATCATATTAATCATTTATATTTATTTTTCAATTTATATATAACAATTTTTATGAAAAATTGTACATTTTCTTATTCGCAAAAATCCCTCATTTTACGCATTTTAATTGCATCTTCTCGATTCAATTCAATTCAAGTGCAAAATTCAATTGTAAATTTTTTCTGGTAATTGTAATTTCAATGGTAATTACCAGATAGAAGTACTCAAGTACTAAGTGAAAGAATTAAAATTATTTTATTACGAATTTTTACAAAAAAAAAAAAAAAAAAAAAAAAAAAAAAAAAACGAATATTTATGATAAATATAAATATTAAAACAATTTTAATACGATATTTTCGAATGATTTTATATGTATAATTGTGTATAACTTACTAACATACAAATGAAATTATTCAAGATTCCAAGAATATAATAATGAATTAATTAATAAAATGTGTGAAATTTTCTTTATTATTATTTTATTTATTATGAAGATTAATAATTCGATGTAGTGATAGGAAATCACATTAAAGACATTAAATGCAAATATATTTGCGAATTATATAAAGTTGAAAATTATAATCGTAAATGTAGGCTTGAACATAAAAAAAAAAAAATTACAAAAAATTTTAAAACGAAAAGGAAAAATCGACACGTTCGACATATAAAAATTAATGATAAAAATTAATAATTAAATAAATTAATAATGTATTTTTAAGTTATTTCCTTAACAAAAGTTTTGAAAAGAGTCTTTTTAATGTATTTTACACTTAGTATGAGAAGTTATTGCTGCGTTATATTTCCTTTTGATTAGCGATTTCCATTTCAATTATTATTCCTTCTCGTGTAATCTCTTATTACGGCGTAATTAATCATACAAATAAATATAAACATTGTTTCAAGCTCCTCTACACTTAAAATAGAATACCCACACTCATGTTTATATGTGGTACGTTTTGATTTGTTAGAAAATAAGTAGTAAAACTAAAACCAACTGCTAATACTAGTTTAAATAAACTGCAATTAACTAATAACTATGAGCTTAGTTTAATTGTCGATGCAAAATTTTGATTTACCATATCTATTTATCCTCGTGATTAGCATTTTCGTGATAATATAGATCACATAACGACACATGCATGCACGAACGTACCCACATCCACGCATAAACATACACACATCTAAAGTTATTGTTTAGCAGAAACACGTAATATTAGCGAACTATGCCGAATGCCTACATTATATGAATAATTTTATCACATTGATAATAATAATAAAGTGAGGTCAGTAACAAATTTTTTAAGGCGGTCATAGCTTATTAAAAAATTAAATTACCTTATTTAATATGATTATTTAAAATTTAAACACCCTTTCAATCTTATATATTTTTTTCTATATAATTGTTTATAATTTTTTTATTATTTTCAAATTAATCTAAATTTATATCTGTATATTTTATGATTTTAAATAAATATACTCGTTCAAAATGATTAACAAAAATATTTGAAAAAAAAAACCACTATTCTTATAAAGAAAATCATAAAGTTTTAACAAACAATTGTATCAAAATCAAATATTGTCAATCTATATTTATCGAGTAGCTCATTCGTTCAACTCTAGCATCTAATTTTCATTTTCCAAGTGTAAAAATCAGCGATAAAAGTTGCTATTAAATTTTTATTTTCAAAAACTACAATGTTTTTTAATTAAATAATAGTATGTAATAGTAAGTGATGGAGTAAATAATTTTTAGATTTTATGAACCTTTAAGATAATAAATTACTTTTATTCGTTTAATCATTATGTGTTTATATTGAAATTTATGGCAATCGATACTAGTGATTATAAAAAATGATATAAATTCTTTTAAGATATTTTGGATACAGAAAAAGGGAAATATAAGGGAAAGGGAAAAATAGATAGAGACAGAAAATAACGATTCTTTCCTTATAATTTTTTCATCTTTTTTGTTATTGAGATAGTATTATTGAAATTTATGGCAATCGATACTAGTGATTATAAAAAATGATATAAATTCTTTTAAGATATTTTGGATACAGAAAAAGGGAAATATAAGGGAAAGGGAAAAATAGATAGAGACAGAAAATAACGATTCTTTCCTTATAATTTTTTCATCTTTTTTGTTATTGAGATAGTATTCATTTATATGTATATATATATATATATATATATATATATATATATATGTATATAAAGTATCAATTAAAAAAATCAAATTACAAATGTTGGAATTCTGACAAAACGTATGTATATATTTTTTTCATATGAAATTATGTGAACACAGTGTACTTTTAAAAATTATAGATGGCAACTTATTTGTCATCTTTATTCTAAATAAAACTTTGATATTTCTTCCACATTAACATTTTTGATAGCTTCATAGCTATTTTTTGTAATCTGAAACAATCCGAAATTGTTTCCCTTTCTGCCCTAACATTGCAAAAAGAAGTATATATCTTTTCTATTATTATGTTATAAGCATCTTAAATAAAGTTTTCAGATTTAATATTCATCAAATTTTTTTAACATAACGATTCATAAACCTCACAATATACATCACTATCATTTAAATTCTTTATTTCCATTCATACTTAGTAATAAACAAATATAAATATCAATTTAGGAATTTATTCAAATCATCAAAAGGAAATTGTTTTAATTGAAAGTGAACTTTTAACTAGAATGACCAGAAATATTGAAAAAGAATGAAACGCACATAATAAGTTTTATCTTTCATTGATTGTATCTATATTCTTTACTATTTTATCACGGATCCTCCTAAATTACAAGCATAATCTACCACCTTCGGCTTTACCAAAATCAAGAAAAAACTAAATCCAAAACAAATAAATAATTACTTCCATCACTTTTTTGTAAGTTTAATGATTAATCAATATAGTATAATACTCGTTCAATGTCCACGATTTTGCATGAAAAAAGAAAATGTTTTCAATATAAAATATAAATTCCTAGCAACATCGTATATAAAATACTTATAAAATTTAGCAATAAAAATAATTAATTTTACGAATGTTGCAATAATGGCGATACTGCTTTAGTATTGTTTGATTTCACACAAAAAAATGAATTTTTACAATTATGACACGACCAATAATAGTTACAATAATAATAATAGTATAATTTTCGTTACACGAGCATTTATTTTATACATAAATGATTTCTATTAATCGGAATGCACTGAACGTTATTTAATAAAGTGAGCATATTGAATAAAACAGCATGATAGAACAGGAATAAGTTGCATAACTAAAATTGTATAAATTACAAGTCTTAAATGTTCGTATTAGTTGATTGAAAAAGGATATAGCCCTAACTGGGAAATAATACAATTCCATCGTTATACAACTAGTAAATCAAATTGCCTTAGCTGAATAAGTAAAACAAAAATTATTAATTAAATTTTTTTAATTTACAATTTTATATGCTAGTGGAACCACATTATTCTATAATTTGTAACTCGAATATTACAATATATGAATTTCATGAAATTATGCCTTCATCAAATCAAGCATTATCTTGATTTCTTTTATTATTAATATTCTAATAATTATTTAAGAATCATAATTGAAAAGTTTGAAATAATGTAATAAAAGGAAGAATTTAGAATGAAGCGAGGATGAACGTAAATACAGACACAGACGAGTTAAAACTAATTAAAAATTAAAAATAAAAGTGTCAATGCTTTTATAACAAATAAAATTTCAATAATAAAAGTATGCAATTATGCTAAAAATCTTATTATGAAAATAGAAAAAAGAACAGTTTAATAATAATGCAAGTGTCAAGATTAAACAAATTCTCAAATTGTGTTAATATTGGCACAAACATTCGTGTTATAATTTTAATTCTATTTTTATTTTCTAGTAGATTAAATAGATTATATAAGCCTATTATAGGCAGACATAATAAATAAATTTTATTTATGACATTCAGTTCGACAAGTTTTAACATTACCAATAAAAAAAATCTGCTACCTGAAAGATAACTTAATAATTAACGAAATATATTTTAATATGGATATTAACTTTTTTTTATTAACATA